GGACATGACAAAAGGGAATGATGTGCTTTATCAACGGTCACCGCTTAACCGTGTCGACTGTTTTCTCGCCTCAGTACTAGGCTTCCTTGGTGCTGCAGATTACGGGCTTGAGTGTCCCGTTGCTGACCCAACAGAATTAGAATGTTCAGCATTTTCAGTATTTTCGCTAACTCATGTCGACGTAAAGTCAGAAGCAGTAGCAGGGCAAACTGAAACAGTGAGAAAAAACGTTCCATACTGAGGTGGAATCCTTTATGTTGATTCCTTCCGACAAACGAAAGATGGACCAACTGTGGTAATGAAACCGACGCTCGGCGCGAACTCCGATTTCGATGATTTTACGTATAGTTCAATAGATATCGTATTCCAGGCTTCCACAGGGTGAGTGTTTCCCGCCTTACTTTTCCCGTTTGGCTTTTGGATTGCGCAACGACACCAGTCGACCAGACTCGTCCTGTATTTCCACCCTTTTTGTTTTGTATGCTAAGGAATACACTTGACTTAAACCGATGGAATGCTCAATAGACACATAGGTGACTATCTATCTGTGCAAGCGTTAGAGCATGCCAAACCATCGCATCAAGTTCACATTTGGATCTGTTTCCCCACTTTTCATTTGTGGCCTCTCTCAGACAGCTCACGTTCTACCGGAGTGACACAATTTGGCCGGTACGCTAGCGCGCTGCTGATCCGTTCGTTAACTCCATACCTGGGATTGCAGCTCAGCCACTGGTATAGATCGCGTACAGAAGCACCGGTTATAACCTTAACGTCACTTATAGTTATCAAACATCCACTAATCCGAGCCACACGCGTTATAAACGAGTGCGAACATCTTAGATTCCGCCCACTGTTTTCCAGACAACGCAGCTCAAGAAAACATCACGGCACGATCACATGAAGGCCTGTTAGTGTGGTTTAATCTAAGTGATATTCCTTCTCCTCGAAACTTCTGTCATCTTTTCCCGATACTGGTGTTTATCAGGCTACAACATCGAGCTCACTTGCAGTGCTTCTGCCTACCATCTTTCTTAGGTCCATTCTTCTGCAATCGTTCAAGTAGCAATTGTAATACTGGGCCATTATCTGACCCCGGTTACTTTATGGTTCTCTTGGTGCACCAGCCGACCCTGTAAACACTTCCAAATGGGCATCCTCATTCCGAACATTCGTAGTGGTACGTCTCGTCAGCAGTACTCGACTAGCTTGTTCCTTTCACGTCATACGTTATCAACTGATGCTACCACACCTGTCTTCGTCTCCCATAACCGTCTTGAACCATGGCGTACCATGCTTCAGAGTAGCTTCGATTGGCCACCATCTCTTTGATTAGGCTGACTTCATTGCGTCAGTTGTGCTAGCAGACAACCTTAAGCGATGAATGGCTTGGATTTGTTAGAGCATGACTGCAGCTGGCGCGACCATTCTGGAGGGATGCTGGTCTAGTATAATCTTCTACTTCAAACAACAAGATTGTATACACTACTGAGTTGATTAAACCGGCATGGCCTGAATCGGTGGCCTGCGAAGTAATAAAATGTGAACTTTTGTCACTTTTTGAGGCTGCGTTAGTGGCGTGACACAAAATGGGGCGGGGCGAATCGATTCATCCGTGATCACTTATCTGGCATCAAGTTTGTAACCTTATCAAAACTATCGAGAAGCGAAGTAGACAGTGATTTCCGGTCTCCTAATATTACGATTATACACAATTTTCTGCCATGTGTTAGCGGTTTTCTATTAAAGTACATCATTATCCCGAGCTCATACCGAAATAGGGCCGATTTCGATTAATGTCACACCCGCCATTAGTTCATCTACCTTTAGCGAAGCGGAGATTGATAATTCTAGATAGTTGAGTTCCACCATTGAATGCAGGATAGCTTCTGTCTGATTGATTTGGTTGCTCCTCTGAGTTGATCTGCTCCTATGGCAAATGCATCCGAATTATAGAGATGTCGTACATACGTTGACACTTGCCGGCTGTCAGCAATCAGTATCCATCTGTTAGTTTTTCACAGCTGCCAATTCTACGGTCTCCCTTCCGCGACACAGGCGGAGCGATCAAGTCCAGTGACCACTGTAAGCAATTTGGGGCTGTCTGTTTTGTCCCGTGTCCACTGCCACCCTCTCTTCACCGCACGTGAGCGTACACACTACTGTGGTCAGGCTAACGACTCAGTTTACCTGAACAGTCCGCAATTCGACTCAGCTTCGTGGTACACGTAGGGAGAGCGTAGGTGGGGACGAGGCCACTGAACGGTAAACGCCTGTTGTACCGACGACAACAAAACATCCCTGCCTCCAACCTTTATTTGCTCACGGGCTCATCCACTCACTCGCTAGCCCGTTTGTTTGTTTGTTTGTTTGTCCATCCACAACTGTGTGCAACGATGCGAGTCCTCTAGTCATACCCGACTCGCCCACGTTTTGTTCACACATCATGTGTCAATCAAAATCATATCGGCATTTGAAATGCGTCGGTGTGACTGGCGGTAGTCCGGTCGAGTAGTTCCTTCAGATAGATGACTTGACAGTATCGTGTGTTCTCCCGCTTGTCCAGACAGTGACAGTGAGTGATGGCACGGGGGTTTGCAAGCCGCACCCAGGATGCTGGGTGAACTGTGTGAAGGATGTATGCCCGGATAACGTTTACAAACCCCCACAGGGGAATCAGAGCGAACCGACTCCTACTCACAAATGGGTCCACTCACTATGATCTGCGTGGTATGACTCATTTAGATGAGATTGAGCTATGGTTGTGGAATTGTTGGGCGTAAAATAGCTTCGGATTCATCAGTTTTCCACCCGCAGTAAGACACATAATTGAAGACAAACGGTGCTTTACTTATTTGCAATGCAGGTTGAAGCATTCGCAATGATATTGCTAAACTTATGCCATGGAGCTGTTGCCATCGCGTTTAGCTGGCGCTATCTACGGCATAGGATTCTCCGGTTTGTTCATCAGCATCAAAACACGAGGCGGTGTGATGTAAGAAGTGGTTACGGATGACCAAGCCACAGTTCATCTATTAAGCACTCCGCTCAGCTCCACATCTTTGGTCTAGTGAATGGCGTATTTTGAAACGAAAAAGGATCACGTTTGATGACCACAGCGTCTCTGTTTATTTTACTTATTTATGTTTCCCACCTGCACTCCAACGAACAGCCAGTCAGCGCTTAGGCAGACTGTCGGAGGGGATCGCAACACAGAATCATCCCACAATAGTCACCAATATCCTTTTGGCGTGATCGGAGAGGAAATATTTCCAATCGTTGTTGTCATTTAACCGAGAACCACCGCATGTGTGTTGGAGGACACCACCAACTGGCGCTAACTTAGACCATCGTTCGTCGTCGGCCTGTTTCTTAACCAGCCTGGCTCGACCAGTACTGGGGGACTACAAAACCGCCTTTGGATATGTCCTATCCAGATATCCTGATTTTGTACAGTGCTTTCATACACCTTTCCCTGGTTGTACGATGGATGAGCTAGCTTCCAGATTTGGGTGATTGGTAGGCGACACTGACCAACATACTAGCGTACCCAGGAAGTCAGGTCAAATAAGCGATTCGCCTTCATCAGTCAACCGATGAGCTTACCCTGTTAACTATTGCCAACACCACACACTGCGCCCACTGTCATCCGAATTTGAGTCCGTCAATTAACCGCTGCTTCAGATTGTAATGCTAATCACGTTATGGTCTCATTCCCTCCACTGCTCGCTTCATGTCACTCCGCTTTTGAGTTGGTTCAAACGCCTAGCCGCGAGTATGCGTCCGCACCCGCTGCTGATCACAAGCCTCAGAAAAACGCTGTTCACCTACAAACGTTCACTCATCGAAGGAGTCCAACGGGCCTGGTAATTTGTCATTCTGGCACGTCCCCGACGCACATTGACTTGCCGGCAAGTTTGTAGGTATGTATATATGTGTGCGTTTGTGCGTTTGCGCACGTTGTCGCCAGCTCCACAGCTCGGCCTGACGGTGCGCACGTGCTTCTAAAGCCGCTTTGGATGACATGTTTGAGGGCGGCGGCACGACAATTCAAACGATTTGTCCAAACTGGTTGACGGATTACTAATGACATGCCATATCGCCGCGACCCATGGGTCCAGTGTTTTGTCAACTTGGACGTTTCAGTTTGGTCTCCTAAACGCGACGTAATCACGGATGGTGTGTGCATGTGTGTGTATGCATTCGCCGGTCTGGTATAACCGGCTGTTGTCTGTCTGTTCGTCGATCTGTTTGTCAGCAGCGATGGCACTTGCTTGAGGGGTCCCATCCAAAAGTATGGAGTCTGATGCAAGCCCTTCCTCTTGTTCCCACACATGGACGATGGCGTAACAAATAAAGGATGTGGATGTTCAATACATCGCTGATCGCAGCATTCCTGAACTACAGGCGAGTAGCTGATGTAGATGAGTCTGTGAACGACTCATTGCTATGTAACGGAAAGTTCTACCCCGATATCTCGTAGTTAAGATGTAGGTAACTCAGTAAGGTTACGAAGTTGGCTCTGGAGTATCCATTAGGCTGGAATTCCACTTTTAACTCGGGCTATCTCAACCTGATTAGTCCCAACAAGAACGACACCGGTCATGGAGTGTAAGCGTTGAGAGGAACAACACCGAAACACCTGCATTTAATAGGATTACCTTTTAAAGGCAATATTCTCATCCGAGTTAATATGCATTAACGTAAATAAAAGCCGGCTCTGGGACACCACCTGTGTGCCACCAGCTATTACAGATCCATTTTTTGAGATAGATGTTTGGGAACTCCGTTTATGTGAACCATAGCATTTTCAATTTTTCTTTCTGGATGCGTTTCAGACTTATGCGCATACACAATAAGCCTTTGTTTTAACATTTGTAGTTCCGGCATCCAAAAAACCACTCGAAGGAAAAAGCAGAGGCTTGCATTTTGTTTATTGATCTAAATCCCTGATTACATTGAGTGAGCCTAACTAATTATTGTGTTTCCACTGTCTTACGCAGATCAACCTCAACCAGTACCCACTGAATCATGGAAATAATGTCCCGTGCGACAAACGTTACACCTACTTTGGCCTCCGTACCGCTTCGCTTTCCCATACCGGAACCAAATGGCTCTCCTAACGCAATGGAGTCCACAGCTCCAGCACTGACACCGCCTGTAGCCGAGTCACCCGAACGCTCGCGATCCAACAGCGGAACTGGGACCTCCGTCAACCAATACGGCAGTCCGACTTCGTTGCCTTTGCCAAGCTTGCCGAACACTCCCTGCAGTGAATGGAACCGAGACACAACGACTGTGGCACAGAGACGAGCATCTAGCTTGGATTACTCCGAAATGCAAATGGCATCTGCGAAGTTACGTACCGATATCAATGCAGATGACGAGGTTCACAATAAGCCCCGAAACGCAGTATCAGAGGGTGCGTGTGCGGCTGCACTGTCACCAAGTTTATTCAACAGCGGCCTAATGCCTGCACCTGACCCTGATGTCGCCATCGAGTGGGCCCGAACGTTACAACAATATATGGCGACATCTAACGAGGAGGCAAAATCGGCCAAATTGATCACAGATAGGGTTGGGGAAAGTTCGAGAACACCGAGGGATCCGATGGACCAGTTGGCAAAATTCCAGACCATGCTAACCAGCATGAGTCATCTGCTGTTCTCAACACAGCTTCCATCTATGGGTAAGAGGCCAAGCACACACGAGCCTATTTCTCATATGCTCAGTCCGAACCTCTTGATGGATCCAGCGCACTTCCTGCACGGCACTTCGTCTCCTGCAGCGCAATATGCCACTGCAAAAGCAACTGGGCAGTTGTCAATGTTTACCACTCCTACAAGTTCGCAGCACGGTATGTGTGCACCACCGAGCCAGGCGCCGCTCCTGTCGTCTCTGAGTGATCTACAGCAATCCCCAACCCATATGGCCTTAACTGCTTCACTGTTGGCAGCAGTGGCTGCACAAAGGCCTGCAGCGTTACCCGACCCGCTCCTAAATGTGACTGATTCTTTCTTCTCTGCATACACACAGGCACCTGCAGCTGCAGCAGCCCATCTACCCACACATAACAGCAATCAGGCATCAACCTTCGTGAATCAAGCATTGGGAAAGTTCCCCAATTACAACATGCCGGACAACCGGGACTTACTTTATGAACTGGGCAAACGGTTGATGGCTATAGCCTCTGCTCCAGCACAAACAGATCCAGCAGCTAGCCAGTCCAGTTTGAGTCCTTTGTCTACAGCCGAGCCAAGAGCGATTTCAAACCCAGGATTACCCGGAGACGGATACAGCCCACCTAGTGCGGGACACCTATTCTCGAACCCTATGTTGGCTATGATGAATGCAGCATTATTCCCCGGGGCGAGTACAAATCAACTTCCAGTCCATTCTTCCTCCAACCCATCTTTTCCGAACGGTTGCTCTCTTCCTGCTGCATCGGACAACAGACCAACGTCCAATGTCACGTACGACAGGAATATTCACAGCTTGTCAAGCGGTGGAACCGGATTAAGTGGAATATCCATGAGGGGTAATCAGAAATACAGTGCCTATTATCAACACCAGAGGAAACAAGGTATACAGCTTGGTAATCCTAACGACTTTGTTAACGCAAGTTCTATTCGAAGACAGAATTCGGTGGCGGCCTTTCCTATGACAAACACGAGATGTGGCTCTCGGCGACTCAGAAGCGGATTTTCTAACCCCACTATAACTCCGAACGGACAAGAATCACGTGTGGTTCAGGCGCCGTCCAGAGTCAGAGGGAATGGGGGGATGACCGGAGGTTCGATGTTTTCACATTTTCGTGGCACCCCATTTAAGCATTCTTCCACAAGCAATTCTTTTGGATCAGCTCCAGGTCTTTCAAAACCACAAGCCACATCGGATGACCTAATGAATAGTACAACAGTCCCCAATTCTGTCCCAAACGAGACGACTCCTACATCGCATCGATTACGAGATACGGCCTTTCTATGCAGTTGTGGAAAGGACTTTGAAAGTTTGTACATTTTCACTGTGCACATGAAGGATACTGGCCACAAGCCCAAAAGTGATCAGTCAGAACGGGACATACCCAAACTGGTCCGAGGTCAAGATATGTGGATCAACAGTGAAACGGAACAGACCAGAGAGATTCTACGCTGCATGAGATGCCATCAGTCTTTCAGAAATCTACCGGAATTGACTATGCATATGATGAAGACAAATCACTACTCCGAAATTGTTTACAATGATTCTGGAAGACTAGTTTTTGTCAATCCTGATGAACACCGTCGTGGCCCGGCAACTACCACTAGCTCCGCCTCCTCAATGAATACGTCGTCAAGTAGGCAGACCGCTGCAATCTCAGGCCAACAGTCCGGGAGGCGTAATGTGAAAACAAGCTTGAATGTTCCCACATCAGTGAAAAACTGGCATAGTCCGCTAACCGACAGACACAGGCGAAACCGTAGTGGCGATGACCAGGTGCTGGATAGACAGCACGGAGCAATCTTTCAATCCGATAGAATGCGTAGCCCACTGAACTCAGAGAGCCGACTATCAGAACAGAAGGGAGACACTCGTCGCTCAGCCCCACAACAAATGGAGTCTCTGGAAAATAATGGAAGCCCTGAACAATTAACTGATGCAGATGGTCCACTGGAATGTGCTGCTGATAGGCAAGAAGGAGAAAGCTACCTGGAAACTTGTGAACAGCACAGCAACTCTGCGCCAACATCGACAAAATCACCCAAAAGAGTAACGCAGGACGATGTTGGATGTGTCGACAGTTCTACGGACCCTCATGGCAATGTGGTCAATTCGAGTGTTATCCGCCAAATCGAGTCGTTTGTGGAGAGTAATTTGCCACGTGATTCGTGTGAGACGTCGACGACCAAAGTTGTGAGTTCTCATACAGACACCTTGCAATCCTCCTCACCAGTACCAGCGATTACCGAGGGTGGTGTCGCCCACTCCAGTGCTAACAGCAGCTCAACACATTCCCCAATCTGCAGCAGGAAACGCACTCATTCAGGGGCAAGTTTGTCTCAGCACTCCTCACCAATCCCGAGTCCTTTAAATGAATCGGAGGGAAAATCGAGGAGAACTATCTCCGTTAAAACAGACATATGTTACCCGGTCTCCGTTACCTCACCCGTTAAGGTTACTAGTACCAGTGAGTTGTCCCAGCAATTAACAGAAAATCCTCTCTCATCCTTGCAGAAGCTGGTGGAAACGACACATAAGCCCATACCACCCTCGTCGGCATTTTCATCATCCGGGTCATCTATTCCATTTCTTTCCTGCAGTTCCACACTTTCTTCGTCTAGGCATCCAGCGATTGGCCGAAATTCGAACGCAGGAAACGGTTGCAGCAACCGAGTTTCATACTCCCCAGTTTCCAAACTATCCACTATCGTCTCTGCAGGCCCAAGTACTTCGGCCGGGTCGTCAGTTGCACAACTTCTCCCTCCAATTAACAAACACGATAACCTACCACCGGCACTTTCTGCTTTGTACGCTTATGTGGAAAACTCCTCATTGAGCCAGTCGTCGGAAACCGCAAGCAGGGATGGGTCGCACGTCCTTGATCCCGTCGATCAAATTGAGGTTTCCGAAATGTCAAACCCTTTGACCAACCTCGACGCAAATGCAACCTCGCTAAATCATCCGGCTTTACAGGCATTCTACGCTGCTGCGATGTCAAATCTCGCGGCTCAGTACTTGAACCCTTTGACAGCCAACACAATGAAGGTATCCACACAAGACGATCCATTTCAATTGTTCAGACAAGCAACTCTGAATTTCAGAGATGCCTTCGAAACATCTCTTCAAGCAACCAACTCTCCCAAACCCGAGTTGGCGAGCGAGTGGTTAAAATTGCTACAGTTGTTCGGAATGCAAACAGGGAAATTTGATTCATGTGGCCAGACATCTCCTTCGGAATGTTCCGAACATTCAGACACCAATAACTCCGTGGGACGACTCGGCTCTCCGCCACAGCATTGCATGAGAGGTGGAAAACCGTCGGGATCTGATGCCGGAGATTGCGAATCCACACCGCACATCCGGCCCAAGATGGTCCACCACAATAATAGCACCCATTCAAATTTCGATACCTCTTACACACCCGCCCCAACTCTGACTGCGTCGGGCCACTCGCCATCTTCTCCACCATCCAGCATGATTAATCCGGGCGCTTTTCCTTCCACTCTGTCTAGTGCACAATCAGGCCGGTTTCAGTCGACGATGTCAAGCCGGCCGATAAGTAGTAGTGGGAACACACCGACTAGTTTGATCTCCACAATGATAACGAAGAAGGCGAAGTGCCACTTTTGTGGGAAACCTTTCGCCAACAAAGGCCAAGTGCGTCTACACATAAGCAAGAACAAGTGTCCCTGTCTGTTGCAACAATCATGCCATGCCGCTGCACTGGCCGCAGCGTTCGGCTCTGACAGGCGACATACGCATACTGCACTAGTTTCAGCTGCAACATCGACGTATAGCACACAAGTCAGTTCACCGGTGGGTTCGATAAACGCAAAAAATAACAAGAATATGGGATTCTCAGCTTTTTCCGGGACACACAATCCGGAAGACACAACTGAGGTTCCTTCTGCCTTCAGCCTTTTGAAAGAGCGTTTTCAAAGTTTTGACTTGATGCAGCCGGGAACAACTCGCTCATCAGGGCAACGACCATTGGATTCTAGTCAACACAACGGCGCCTTCTCCTCCGTCTTCACCACCGTACCCAGCGCCATAGCGGATGGTTCTCTGCATATTGCAAACTTCCCTTTCCCTCCGATGACCCAGAGTTCCGAACAGTGGTGCGGTTCGACCACACCGGTTTCCTCCATCTCAGTGACCAAAGATGGTGTGTCAAGTCACTCTGGCAACATCAATGTGGCAACTGCGACAGCAGCCGCGAATGCTAGCCATTTGGCTGCCATGGCACTACTTGCACAGACCTTGGTTCAACTGACTTCCGCCCAAGTTCCGCGGCCTCTTTCAAACGTTAATGTGGTAGAAGATGTAAACTTTACGCCCTCGCGTCGGCTAGCTCCGTATCCCCCATGCACGATCCCCAACTCTTCGGACCTGATGGGTGCATTTCCACTTCTCAATCCTGGGAATATTAATATGGAGTTGTTGCTAAATCAGGTGAACTTTGCGAGGCAGCTGGCTAATATCGGTTGGAATGATCCATCGTTAGTGTGTGGACACAAAGACACCACGGGTGGTTTAGACTCCGTGGACAGCTACCGGACCGAGCTAGCTCCAAACAGTTTGCCGTGAACAATGCCAGCCAACCAGCTCGGGGACGAGACAAGCGCATATCATACCCAATGGTAATTTGAACCAGATTTACCAATATTCTACATATGTGGACCATACCGCTCAGACGAAAGCATCTGTAGCGCAGTCAACCAATGAAGATTTGCATGCTCCTGGCGTTCACTTTGCGGGTTCTCATCTTAACGTGTATTTCCCGTAGCGTGAAGTTTCACCCGAGAAGTATCAAATCCGATACAGTTGTATTATGTGGCTTTCACTGTACATATACACGCGGCACTCCGCCACCATTTTCCGTGTGGCAGTTGAGCTCTTTGTGATCATTCCTTCCGAGGTGAGAATGCCATCTTGAGTTGATCAGCATAATTTGCTTGTTTGTGACGCGCTTCATCAAATCGTGATGTTGCTTCAGAGTGATAAAATTTTTGCACCCGGCCATTGTCAGATCTATCCTTCTATCGTTCTTTCCATTCTCTGTTCTCCCATGATCGAAACTGAACGCATTTTTTTGTACAAAATTATCAGCTCCACAATTGATCTTGTATTGTACATAAACTTAAAACAATCTATCATTCATCCATCAGTTGCTATTACCATTGTTCTCACAAATCATTCTATCTTAATTCTGCCTTCGAGTGTGTGTGTGATTACTGCGGGAAACGACAGTTAGAGGCATCATCCGTAAGTATGTTTTTTGCAGCTGGAATTGAAAACGGCATTGTCACCGGGATCTTGAGCGAAATCGAATCCTGCGGTGAATAGTGTAGGGCGGCACTCAGGTATTGGGTGCGACGAGAACCAGTGGGAACCAATACGGACATCAATTATTCAGAAATGAGTACGTACCCGGGCTTAACGTGTATTGTAAAGCGCTGCAATGAACTAGAAGCAAATGATCAAGAGCACAGAGCTAGGTAGCTTGCGAAGCACAGAGTTCGAAAGTGAACCAGACGTGCCGTCAGTAAACCAAATGTACGATTGGAAGATACCAACAAGAAGAAAATCCAATATCACAGAATACTGAGAGGGTAAACGTCTCATGTTCACTGCCATAGACAGCTTTCTTGGCTTCCGCACTGTAAAGATCGGCGGTTTGTCCACTACAGCTCAGTGGGGATAAATGCAAATATCTGTTTGCTCCGTTTCTTTAGTATCTTCCAGGAGACTTGCTCATACATGGCTTTTGAAGGTTACCGTTCAAAGAAGTATGCTAGGTCTAGGACTAATAATAAGACCACTTAAAGAAGTTGAAGTCCTGCCAAAAGACTACCACAATTGGCTTGCTTTCCGGGTTAAATTAGTTGAAAGTAACGGCCCGGTTGACGAAAAAGGCGACAGAACTGTATAACAATGTAGTCTGGTTTAGCCTCTACTTAGAACGGTCGGAAGCGCACGACACCGGTTAAGGTAGATAACAGAAGTTAACATGTCACAAACTTCTACAAGTCAGTGTTCTGGGTTATGTACCGAGATCATCCAGATCTCAGTTTGGGTCCCAATGGGACTTTAGACTCGAAAGCTTATTGAGTACAGCATTTCGTAACCCCCGATGGATAGCTGTACCAAAGTGTTATGTCCTGTTTATTTTTTGAACCGCTAGCGGAACTCATCATTACCGGTGAGATCTGTTCATCACGCCGATTGAACATTTGAGGGTCAATCTCTCTCTCGCAGTTTTCATAGATCTTCGTTCTAACCACTTTATGCCAAATCTGGAAGGGGAAGAACTTTGGTACTTGATATGTTATCGGTATGAACAGTGAAAACAGGCCTATGTCTCATCCACTGGAAGGTTCTGATGAAGAAAGGGTGTCCGCGGTGTCATCCTTCAAGCGTTTGTCTGACATCCGACACCCTGGGTTCAAGTTCCAGCTCACTCAAGGGCTTGGATGCACCTGCAGTATCTGACCTGTGTACCGCCGCTTACAGTTGTAAGGTAGCACAGTATCCGTACGAAGTGTCCGTGTACTGCCCACATTTATTAATCGACAAAATGAATCTCATCTTATGCGTTCAAGCGAATTTCCAAAGATTGAGTGGGGAAGACAACAATGTCTGTGGAAAAGTTGGTTATACATTTTATATGTTGGTGGAAATGTGAGGGCGCGATTACATTCACCATACGTAGGATCCACATGGATAACTGATCTAAGCACGTATGAAAAAGAAATTCCTATTGAAGACCATAACGGTAATTGGTGTTACGTTGTAGCGGCCCACAGTAGAGTTACTTACCAGGTCCTTAGAACCAGTTTATTGAACTGGAAAAGGCGTTTTGGCTGATCATCATTTCAGCGCCCACCAGTGCTACATTGGATGGGACGACAAAATACTGGAAGCGCCAAAACGCCCGGCTAGCTGAAGGACCCTCAAAGTACCAAAACAGTTCCAACATGACCAACATCTAGACCGATCTACTTACTAGACAACAGTAGTGCACCACTAAATGTGCAAGCAAATTCTGCGGGAAAAACAAACACGAAGCCTCGTCTCGGATTCGAACCGCGTCAGGTGGGACAAGCCAGGAATACGAAGGTAAACGCATGCACAGCTGCGTGAGGACAGGGTGACGATTCGTCAAACGGACCAATCCACGATGTGTGTGGGAGTGAGGGATAAGGCAGATGTAATGCAATCTTGAGACTGCCCCTCATGAATGGGCAGGTTAGTGTGCGCGGTGGAACAGAGTCAATAATGGACTCACGAAGGGACTTGAGAGAGTCTAACATTTCAGTGCAGACAAACATGTAGGGTCAGGTGTTGCCAAACCGGTTTGCATTGGAAAGGTAAAGAGAGCAAAAAACAACTGCTAATTACCAACAACTTGACCACATCTTCCATACTCACCAGATTTAATGCCTTCAGACTGTCATACCTTTGGCCCCATGAGCAGCAAACATTATTGCATTGATGAGGAAATGAGAACTGCAAAGAACAGTCAGTCAACGGAATTTTACGAGGCAGGGATACATGCTCTCATTCGAAGGTGGAACATTGCTATTAAGAGAAACGGTGACTGCATTGAGAAGTAGGGATGTGATCCACAAAGGACCAGTTTCATTTTAATGTATGATACAAGTTCCTGTGTTAATACGTATAACTGTCCCGAAGAATACAGCGTTACATTTTAGCTCACCCTCGTAGTTCCAATCTTACTCACTCACCAGAGGAGGTGGTAACTCGTTTCATCAACTTACAGCAACATCGATTTCATCCAATCATCTGGGTGCAATGACATTCATTCCAGCTTAATACATGCTGTGTCCACAGTATGGGGTAATGTGAAATGATCGATATACTCCGCTTACTAACTTTGTCCCATTTGATGGGAAATAATCGCCTTTTTGACGCCTAATTGGAACAGTGCACAATGATTGCATACGGGTTAAGAAGCACTGCTTTACAAACCTCCTAGGGTGATCTGGTGGGTTAACGAAAAACGTTACTGAAAAATTTGCAGTTAATAGTTCCACTATCAAACGAATGCATTTATCGTATGTAATGCAGTATCCCTGCACTCCGAGTGTTTCCATATCTCCAAGAGGCGAAAAAACATAAATTCATGCAGTAGGATGTAGAGTAGCGCCAAGTAACCAAATGTAAGTGGCTGACTACGTCATCCAACGGCTTTTAAATATGGCTAGCGTGGGTGCAGAAACAACCGATTCGGAGACAGCGTTCCATCTTCAACACACACACACACACACACACACACACACACACACACACACACGAATGAAAAGAAATTTCTACGACACGCCAGATGGCTGTACGGTACTGCAACTTATAAAGAGTGGCCTCTAAGTTTGATGTTAATGCTGAGTTGCAGTAAAGAGCGGCACACATGATTTGGCTTGTGTAAAATCATATACGCCATAATCAAGTCGCCTCGTAGTCGGCGATACCGCCCGCTGAATACTCCCAACCGCTTCAGTCTCTGATCATATGGGAGGTGGCGCATTCCAATCACGTAGTTTGAAGTTCGACATTGAGCTTGGTCTACTGCAGTAAGGTCGTGCTTCAGCCACGGCTGCCAGGCTTGGACTGCGTATTCGATATGGGGACGAACGTACCTACACAGCATCTGCCTGAAAATTGTGACCTCTATTTGTCCGAACGTCCGTCGTAGCAAACCGACGTGCTGGTTACCAGTTTTCGAGGTCTTTGCGGATTGCTTGGAACCACTCAACTTATCCTGAAGAAGCCCACCAAGGCCTCGTTCGACGGATGATCGCTGAAGTACTTGCGTTCCTAGCCTGTAGGAATAGGTATGCTGGTGTCGTATGGAGAGTACCTTGCATTTGTCCACGCTGAACTGCAGTAGATTTCGAGTTGACTACTCATGTACCGTACCTAGAACCCACTGAAGCAAATTCTGATCGGCATCCGCCCGAATCCGGCACCATATCTTAATATCGTCAGCAAACAGCAGGAAATTTGAAGCCATTGTTCGTGCAAGATCATTGATGAATATCAGAAAACACTCGTGGACCTAGAACTGAGCCCTGGGCACCTCAGACTCGACTGGTATGGGTTCAGCTAAGGAACTCCGGACTCTGATCACTAATTGTCGTTGCAGGAGAAACTTGGCTATCCAGCTCACCAGGCAGTTACTGATCCCGTAATATTGGAGCTTAGAAAGAAGAATCCAATGATCTAAATGATCGAATGTCTTCGACAAATCCAAGTAGATCATAGCAACGGCCTATCCAGTGTCAGCTGACTCGGTCCAAGTACTGCCTGCGCTTAATAAATTCGTTGTGCGCGATCGCTGTCGAGGAACGCCGTGTTGCTCGGAAGTAGTAATCTTACGGAATAGCTATGCAGCTAGACCGCCCGCTAGGCTTCTTTGAAGGAAATTTGGGAAACAAGAGAAAACTCGGTTAATCAAGAAACCGATAAAGCAAGTAGTCTTTTTATTTTCCAACTGTGCAAGAGACTGTTCCCGCATGGAGACAATTCAGCAAGTAACATGTATACTTCAGATAGGTACGCAAATTCAAATCGTCAGATAGTCTATCAAACGCGCAATCTGCACCATTGAACAACGATCAATTCTTTGCATTGCTGTCAGGCTCTATCGAAGCTAGTTGGGATGCAGATGGATTTTTATACGTGTGAGTATTGATGTACGCTACAGACTAGTCAAGTTTTATGATATGATGATGTAAGGATCACAATTTCATTGTGTTCGAGTATGGAAGCAACTGGGAAGACCCCCTGGATGATAGTTCTCCCTATTTATGACTTTCATGCATGCAAATTATTGATTACTCCTCATGAACCCGCTTTGTCCGATGAGAGTCGCGGTTATTCCTTGACCATGTCTAGTCAAAAACAGGTGTACTCTAGCCGAAAACGAAAAACTCGTTAATTGTCTGTACTATCGCAGCATCAACATTGTTCCCCACACTATTCTATGACTAGTTTGCTAGTTGAACCTTGAATTTTGAACTAGTATCTATCATTCCCCCCTCTGTACTACCATGCAAATTCTGGGTTGTTTATCCGAATTCATGCAAACAAAACACTGGAAAGCCACCTACCATTCCAGACCTGTGTTTCAGGAACTGGACTTCAACTGCTTTAAACGGTTAGCTGGTAACAGGTGATGGCGTCAC